TGGTCTGGTGATTCGCCAGGCTCCACTGACATTCCTTCGCCGGCAATGGGGGCATTTGGCTGCTAGCGCGTGTGAAGGAAGGGGTAGCATAGCATAGCAGTTGAGAATGACTCTAGAGCTCCAACTTCCAGCATTGCATGACAAGTTGGACACCACTGTAGCATGCTTGAGATGCAAAACCACCACCACCACCACCACCGCCGCCGCCGCCGCCGCCGCCGCCACCACCACCACCACCACCATGCTATGCATTAATAAATCACGTGAGGATACAGACTCCACACCATCTACCACCATGCGTCCATATGACATCGCACTGAGAGAGCACACATACCAGCATGCCCAGCCCCACACTGTCACACTCTTTTTTAGAACTCTCGAGTATGGCACACGCATATGGCACCCACCATGCCATGCGTCCGGAGCTCCTTCCACATGATGTCGCGCTGAGACAGCACGCCCACCACCTTGCCCAGCCCCACCCCGTCCTCCTCCTCGTCCGCGTCCACCACTGGCGCCCCGCTGATGCGATGGCGCCGGAAAATCTGCATGTGAGCAACGGAGTGGGGAGGAGGAGGGGAGAGGGGAGGCATGTTTGACCAACCTTGGGGGCACTACCCTGCTCCTCCGCCTACACCACTGGCGCCCCGCTGATGCGATGGTGCAGGAAATCTGCATGTGACGAAGGCCGATGGGAGAGAAGCGGGAGTGGGCAGGACGAGAAGGGGAGAGGGAGAGGGTGAGGAGGGATGAAGTTTAGAGATCTTCCTGTGGCATTCTTCTCTTCCTCTGCCTCCACCACAGATGTATGCTGATGCGATGAAGGAGAGGGGCGGAAAGGAGAGGAGAGCGGAGATAGGAGAGAGGAGAGAAAAGGGAGGAGGGAAGAGGGGAGGCATGTTTGATCTCCCCCTGTTGCACTCTCTTCCTCCTCCGCCTCTACGGATGGAGCCTGCTGATTGAGTATGGTAGGCATGAGGGGAGCAAGGAAAGAGGGGAGCAGAGAGTGGGTAGAAGGTACAGGGGAGAAGGGAGTGTGGAGAAGGGAGACGGGAGAGGAGAGTGGGTAGAGGGCAGGCGGGAGAAGGGAGACGGGAGGGGGAAGAGGGGAGAGGGGAGCATTCTTGTCCCACTTACTCTGATTCGCCCCTCTCACCCTCACCAGACCCGCCCCTCTCACACTCACCAGACCCGCCCCTCTCACACTCACCTGACCCACCTATCCCTCCCCTGACCCACCTATCCCTCCCCTGACCCGCCTCTCCCTCCCCTGACCCGCCTCTCCCTGTGTCACCTGAGCGGCGTCGCGGAGCGACATGTCGCGGTGCAGGCAGATGGGGTTGGGCGTCATGTAGTCGCGCACTCGCTTGTCCACCCACAGCACGCGGTCCACGATGCTGCCATGGGGAAGGGAGGGGAAAGGTTAGGGTGGCTATCTCTGCTCTTGTCCACCCACAGCACCCGGTCCACAATGCTGCCATGGGGGGGATAAAGGGGGGTGGAGATAGAAGGGGAGGGGAGGCAGGAGGAGGAGGACGATTGGTAGCTGTTCTTGCGCGCCCACAGCACCCAGTCCACGATGCTGCTGCAATGAGAAGGGGGAGGGAGAAGAGGAACACAGTCAACTTGGCAGGCTGTCGTGTCAATTCCATGTCTGAGAAAAAAGCCTCCCGGCTCACCTCATGCCGTGCTGCTCATCTCAGGCTGTGCTGACTGCTCCCTTGAAGGCGTGCTGCTCACCTGAGCGCGTGTTTCGACTCCTCTGCCGCCTCCAGTTCAACCGCCTCCAGCAGCGACCACACACTCTCCGGGGTGAATCCGATTGGGCCCGCACCCTCCCCCTCCTCTTCCCCATATCCACGCCACCCTGCGTGCGGCTCAGCTCAGCCCGTGCTTGCTCCTCACCTGAGCGCGTGTTTCGACTCCTCTGTCGCCTCCAGTTCAAGAGCCTCCAGCAGCGATCGCACGCTCTCTGGGGTGAACCCCCCTGGGCCCGCACCCTCCCCCTCCTCCTCGCCATACTCAAACCCCCCGCCAGGCATGGACAGCGGCTGCGCGTGAGCCTGCTGCATCCCACCATGGCTCACTCCTCCGCTGTGGTTCACCCCGCTTTGATTCAGCCCGTCAGCAGCACCGCCCCCGCTGTGCGAGCGCCACAGCATCTCCATGGCCTCCTTGGCGGCCTGCGCCTCCCTGCTCGCCCTGCCGTGGCCGCTTGACGAATCCGCGGCCGCGCTTCGCACTTGAATGCGAGACGGGGAGACCTGAGGCGAGGAGGGGAGGAAAGGAGAGATGTAGGGAAGGAGGGAAGGAAAGGACGGGCGAGGGGAAGGAGGGGAGGAGAGGAATGCAGTAGTCGCCCGACTTTCTCCGCCACCCTGCGCTCCCCTGCTGGCTCTGCGACGGCTGTAGGTTGGCGACGTTGGCGACCGAGTTAGCATCGCATGCGGGTATGAAAAGGGTCGGAGTGTTGATGCGGGGGGATTGGGAAAGAGCGATGAGGGAAGGAGGAGGAGGGGAGTTGCAAGAAGACGGACTCGCGGACAAGCATCGTAGTCACATGCGAGAAGAGAAGGCTTGCGTAGAGCGGGCGAAGCAGATGAGGGCAGGAGCAGGAAGGAGAAATGGAGGAACGAAACGGAAAGCATGTGAGGGAGGCCAACAACGGGGCTGAGAGCTGAGGCGCAAACTGGTTAGCGAGCTGAGAGATGCGCTACGGAATAAACAGTGTTCAGCACGTTAAAAAACGGCCGAAACGATGAGGATCGGAATGGAGTGGGGACAAGCATTCAGATAAGAAGAAAAAAAACCAGGAGTAATGAGATGAAGCTAAATAGGTCGTTGAAAGGGAAGCGTAGAAAAGGGAAAAGAGCTCGAAAGCTTACTTCCGATACTCGTCTAGGAAGCTTCGCATGCAGGATGTGCGAGTTGATGCAAGCGAGAGACTGGGTACTACGGGAAAGATACCGAACAGCATCCATAGAATCACTCGTGTCTCGCTAACAACTACGTTTGCAAGAGGAGTTAATCCTGCACTAAAGGCCTCGTGAGCTGCGAGTCTGCTTTTCTAGTGTGTGCTTTTGTTCTGGCCAAGAACATGGACTCAAGTCCATACTTTTTGAAATGCTACATATGGCGAAATCGCACGCATCGGCGGAAATCGCGTTTCTCTCAAAAGAATCGACCTAAATTGCTCCGACCTCGCCACGTGGGCGTTTTTCTGAATTGGATGGACCGCGTTTGCCCCCGGCCCCCAACCCGATTTTCCCGCCCTTCCCCTCCGAAATTCGGGGCAGCCGTGTGTACTCCCGTGAAATTACAAACAGTCACGAATTCAAAGTACTAGACGATTTGGCCAAATCCTTCGTGTGGTTGTGGCATGCCACATCAGCTTTCGCAACAGACTCTTGATAATTTCGGCGGTTGCTTCTAAATCTCTAGAGACTCTTATGCACGTTGATTGTATCATGTATTTTTGGATTAGAATATGCAATTAGAAAGGGGCGCAAGAAAACACATGACAAATTACCTAGAGTTTTTTATTGTTGATATCTACACGTACAGCTGATTTTGGGAGACATAAAATAAAAAACTAATTCATTCATCGTAATATTCACTCTAAGTCAAATCAATTTTAACTATTTTTTAATCAGGTAGATACTCTGTATGACTTTACTGCTTTATATTATCTAGACAAAAATATCACCCTCATATTTTTATTCTTCTAAAAATGATTGTTACTTCAGTGGCATAAAATTAATAAAATCCATATTACTGATTATTATCTCATTCAAAATCATATTTTATTAACTTGTTAGGCTCCATCTATTAGTAATTTCAGGATATATCACTACTGGTTATATCTTCTACGAAAATGAGAAATATAGTAAAAAGGTACTACAACGGCTGATGGCACAACTGAATGTCATTCAACAATGAAGAATCAAATCGTCTAGTATTTTGAATTCGTGACTGTTTGTGACTTCACGGGAGTACACACGGCTGCCCCGAATTTCGGACGGGAAGGGCGGGAAAATCGGGTTGGGGGCCCGGGGGCAAACGCGGTCCATCCAATTAAGGAAAACGCCCAAGTGGCGAGTTCGGAGCAATTCAGGTCGATTCTTTTGAGAGAAACGCGATTTCCGCCGATGCACGCGATTTCGCCGCTACATATGCTTGTTGACGTTGCTCTGAACAAGTTCGCACAACGGGCTGGCTAGCGTCTGTGGCAAATCACTTGCGGACACTCGGTAACATGGTGTTTCGACAAGAGACACCATGGCCGTGCCATCGCTGCCTCCTCGTCATGATCTTCTCGCACTAGCTTGCGAAAAGCAAGTTCCCAGCAACTCTGGAACCAATGCCGGACGCCAGGACCTCGCACCACCTTGTTCAGCAGTGTTTTCTGGCATGCGAATTGGTGCAAAACATCGTTACCATTCAGCGAAAATGTTTGGTACGGAACTCCGTTCCCATCGCGTACAGTGCACGCGAAAGCGAACACCAGACAGAAGTCCTCACACGCACCTCCGCAGCAATTCTGCTTCTGCGCACCTATTTGCCCTACTCCGCAGGACTCGGTCTTCAACTCGTCTCCGCCACCTCTCGCTCGTCCCCCCAGCTCGTCAGGGGAGGGGCTTCCCCCGCCACACCACACCTGAGCTTCCATTCTCCCTACTGTTGAGCGGATGATATGCTTGCACAGAAGCACCTTCCACAACACGGCACGCCATGAATTCAAGTTATCCATGCGGCACTCCTTTCTCTGGTCACTCGGATAAATACCTCCTCCGAGTCTGTTTAGAGCAACACTACTTCCACCGCTTCCACCGCGTTTCACGCCTCTAGTGTCGACTTCCACTGCTTTCCCGCGCGTTCTATACCTCGTGCTGTCACGTCACACTCGTGTTTAGTCTCGTTTGAACTTTTTAGTCAGTCTAGGCTTCAAAGTCACTGGATCTCGCTTTCCAAACTTTGCTACTATGATCGCGCCCCAGGAAATGCAGTCGGCGACGCATATCAACGATCTTCCCAACGACGTCCTCGCTAAGATACTATGGCACTGCGAGGAGAACACATCTTGGCTTTCCGACAGTGACGCGTTATGGTCTCGCCATCTATTGTGGCCGAAGCCACAGTACCTTCGCTCAATCCCGATCGACGAAGATTCCAGCCCCGAGGAAGAGACGACTCTAATTCCAACTCCCTCCGCCGTTCCAAGCGCTGCCAAGATCGCCCTCCTCTCCTCCGTGTGCCGTCGTTGGCGCGCTCTAGCGAAGCGAGACGTCTCCACCCTCCTCGTGGAACGAAATCGCGTCATTTCCCTCCAAGAACTCTCGCACGCCGTCGCTCGCTTCCCGAACCTCACCCACCTCCATCTGTGCGACGGCAGCGTTGAAACCCTAGACGACAACTTCCTATCTCACCTCGCATCGTCATGTCCCAACCTGAGAATCCTCCACGTAGGAAGCGAAATCACGCACGATCCGGGCTACGCCGGATGGAAGCATCAGCACCCGATCACCGAAGCGGGCCTGGATCGGTTCTTCAAGCAATGCTCTCAGCTGGAGCAGCTTTCACTCCTCTGCCTCCATTTGGACGTGGAGCTACCGCCTTCTTTCTTCCACCTAACACGCCTACACACCCTCGCCTTAACAACCGCCTCCGCCTTAGAAGATCCAGATCTGGAAAGCCTCACCGCTCTCACCACTCTCCATATCGCCTCCGTGGAGTTGAGCATTGAGCAGCTCTCGAATGTGCGTCGCCTTCCCAGCATTACCACCCTCTCCGTCTCTACCCGGACGAGCTTTTATCCTGACGACCCAGGCTCGGCTGAGTTCACCATCGCACAGTTACCATTAATAAAGTCGGCGCTGATCACCAGCCAAATGTTGCTTCCGAGCTGGCCGTGCACGACCCTGGAACAGCTGGAGTTATCAGGTTGCCGAGAATTGGAGCGACTTCCGGACGACATTGCAGAGCTGCTGCCGCGTCTTCGTGAGCTCACCATTTGCAGCTGCGAGCTCTTGCAGGAGCTTCCCGAGGGTTTCACTTCCCTGAACCGCCTCGAGTCCCTGTCAATCTACAGTTGCCTCGAGTTTCGCTGCCTGCCCGAAAACGTTGGGAGATTATCTGCCCTGAAAACTCTGGTTCTGGAGAAGCTGCCGCTGTCAAGCCTCCCTGACTCCCTCTGCCAGCTCAGCGCCTTGGAGACCTTCTTTCTGCTCTGGTGCGAGCCGATCCACGAGCTGCCAGCAGGGTTCGGCTGCCTCACAGCTCTCAAGACCCTTTGCCTCGGGCGAGTGGCGCTTCCAGTAGACATAGGACGGCTGTGTAACCTCCAGACGCTTCTTGTGAGAGAGAGCTCTCATCAGCGCCATCTCCCGTCCTCCTTAACCGAGATCTCCTCGCTGACAAGGCTGGAGCTGGAGCTGTGCCACGTGGAAGCGCTTCCAGAGGGCGTGGGAGAGCTGAGCAACCTGCGGGAGCTGCACGTCTCCTGCTGCTCGCATCTCACGGCCCTTCCAGCGTCGGTGACGTGCCTGACTCGCCTCGAAACTCTCACACTCTCCGGCTGCAGAGAGCTCGCCTTCGTGCCCACTGGGTTGGACGGCCTTACAAGGCTCAAGCAGCTGGTGGTGACTTGGTGTGACGCGCTGAAGCACCCTCCTCAGGTCCTGCCGGCCTCGCTTGAAGTGCTCAGCTGGGGAAGCTTCAGTCATGCCATGGCTCTGCCCGATCTCTCCAGGCTGACGGGGCTTCGGACACTTTGCCTGAACAGGGTGTCTGTGGCGTGTGGGAAAGCTGTGAGCAGAAGCCTGTCTCATCTGGAGCATTTAAGGCTCACGTTGGCAAACGATGCCGAGGAGCTTCCCTTCGCTCTGACGTTTCTTTCTCGGCTGCGCACCCTGATTGTTCAGGGCGCGGGACACGTCCAAAGGCTGCCGCCCGATATGGGGACGGTGTTGCCGCAGCTGCGGAAGCTGAAGCTTTGCGCGGACGAGTTGAGGGAGCTGCCAGCGAGTGTCACAGCTCTTGAGAACCTCACGAGCTTGGAGGTTCACTATGCGTCCCAACTGGCCTCTCTCCCAGATGGCATCGGTGCCTTGTGTCGGCTTCGGCAGCTGCAACTCCTTTTCTGCGAGCAGCTTGAGCAGCTGCCTGCCTCTCTCACCTGCCTTACCTGCCTGAACGAGCTGGCAATTCCGCACAGCTCCATCCGCTCCCTGTGTCCCAACTTTGCGCGGCTTACGCGACTCAAATCCCTGTGCTTGTCGGGCTGTGCGAAGCTGCAGGCGCTGCCAGGGGAGATGAGTGAGCTGAAGGCGCTGCGGAGGCTGGATTTGCACGAGTGTGAGCATGTGATTGACAGTGACGGGTCTGTGCTCCCCAGGAGCATCAACCAGGTGTATGGATTGAAAATTTACAAATAGGCACCGGTAGTTAGTTACCATGACATGCGCCATCTGCTTGGTCTTCCCGTCACTCTGGCCAGCACCCAGTAGCTGTTTGCATTGTTGTGATGACTATGAGCTGAAGGAAGCCTCACGTACCGTATGCTTCAACTATGATTCACCCGCTTTCTGCAATCAGTTTCAGCATCTTACCGGTACTACTATCAGCCCACATTCCCCACTTATGCACATCTCCCTCACTTGCCAGCCCACAACCACTGACATGATTAGCAAGCGTAACTGAATTTCAGCTCATCACTTTCAACCCCTCCTAATCCTCTCCTCCCCTCCTTCACTCCCCTTCCCCCTTCTCCCCTCGTCCACCCCCCTCCACCTCTGAGTGGAGATGAACTTTGACTCGTTAACAAAACATTTTCGAAGTCCCAGAAGTGGGTATTTTCATGTAACGATTCCAGATCAGCCCACCCAAGTCGCCCCTATTTCCAGATTATGTGACACAAACTCAACCCAATCACACTCGTCCTTGTGCTGACTTAGTCGCATTTAGAGCGGCACTTCTTGGCCTTCTTCTTGCACCGCTTGTACTTGTGCGTACACTTGTGGTGGTCGTGCTCGTCGTCCTTGTTCTCCCGCTTGCACTTGCTGTAATCCGTGTTGCACTTCTTATTCTTCGCCTCGCAATCCGACTTGCACGACAGCATGCGGTGTTGTAAAGGACTCTCCTCTACTTTGCAGGAACTGGGAATTGTTCTAAACGATAGAGCTCTGTCTTAGCTTTCCAACGAGCCGTCAATTGCTTCGTTCGCCTGAGAAACGAGCGAGCTATAGCTGGAAACGTGAAGACTATGCTCTATGTTGAAGGATAGGAATCTCTCTGGATTTTGTGTTCGAATGCACTTCATACAAAGTGATTCAGAATGTTCAGTATATCATGCAATACAAAAGCAAACACATTTATATGAACTGCAAAACGTCGAATCGCACATGTAACCTCGAACCGCGGTACACTCGAATGTTCGAGTAACATCGAAGGGGTGAAATTCGACTCTCGAATTTCACCGAATCGAATTCTCCCTGAGTCTCGATTCATCTTGTGTTGCCATGTGGCACCAATCGAGTGGGTCTTTTGAAGTCAACCCACACACTTCGTGAAACCTGCAGCTCTCTCAAGCGGTGAGCACCGAAACACATTCGGTGGGTTGGGGGCATATCAATTGCCCCACCACCGTTTGCTTCTAACTCACGCGACCTCCAACATGCGGTGCGTCTCAGAGGACCATAGGAACCTCCTGGTCCTGCCGAAAAGCTTGCTCAGGAGATCTGTCGTCGGGAAAGCGGCAGAAAACCGTGGTTAGAAAAGAAATTCGCTACGAAACTTATAGCGTCCTAGCCGGCCAAAGCGGCAAGGGGAAAACCGAAAGTGAGAAGATTCTAAAGGGACAGGTTGGAGCCTCCCCACGTACCAGGAGGCGACGCGGCGGAATCCACGCTGACGTCATCCGAGAAATCATCGTCGGCGTCGTCCTCAGCATCAATCTCTTTCGCGCGGCACGGCTGAATCAGCGCGAGGGATACGACGAGGGAGAGTGCGAGCAGGACCAAGAGAAGCTTGGAGCGCCTCATCGCTACGGCGGCTGCTGGAAGATCGGGGGAAGGTGGAAGCGCCTTTGGTCTATCTCTAATAATACGGGGACGGTGGTTGCTTGAATAGCCTCGGGCTCTTGGCTTTTATACGAACATTGCGCAGCAGCGGCGCGAATAACACGAAGATAGGGGTAAGGAGGATTCGGTCTGGCTGGTCGGTGATAATGTAAGTGCAGTACCATTTTGGTCGGTGTGTTGAGCTGGGCGAAAATCGCAAGGGACGAAGAGTTTGACGAGGTAAGGAGGATGCGTGAGGCAAATGTAAGAAGCTTGAGGTGAGGAGGATGTATGTCGAAGGGCTTTCGTGGGAAGGAGATGAGGGGGTTGGGTAGGTGGGGAGGGGTGGGATGCGTGCGAGCGAGGTGTGCTTGGAGCGAACGAAAATGCGAAATCGAACCGCGATCGGAGACGTGGATAGGTTATATCGCGGCGCGTTCCCGACGCGCCTATGCCCATCCAGTCCAGCATTCAAACGAGTTTTCTTATTGCCAGATCTTATAGAGAAAAGCCATTTCTACAACGGACCTTGTTACCAGTTTAAGATCAGTGTAATGAATGTGAATTCATTACTGTAGAGGCTGCTCCTAGCGAGGACAGCCCGAACTGTTCGCGTCAGTTGGGCTCGGCCTACACTTTCGTACCGACCCAGCGCCGAGTCGCCCCGCACCAATCGCGACACTTCCAAGCCTCGCACGTCCCGAGGTCCTCGCCTACCACGGTTTCGACCCTATAAATGCATGCCTCTTGATCATTCTCGTCATTCTGTAATTCTCATCCTTTTTATAAAGTCTTCCGCGCACTCTTCTTAGTACAACTCATAACACTTGGTATCAGAGCCTATGTTCCTAGGCTCCCCGTTTTTTAGAGTGTATTACCTCTCGGGGGGGGGACACGGAAGGATGTCGTGGTGACAGGAGCAGCGCAAGAGCCGGCCAGGAGAACGGGTAGTTGCTCCTAGCGGCCATGAAATTTCAAGGCGCTCCTGCGGCACCGACGGATCCTTGCCCTCGACGGTCGAGATGGACCGCGGCCTCCCTCCCCTCGGGTGGCGGACAGCTTTTGCTGTCGTCGCATTTAACTGCGTGAGTAAATTTCGTCGTTTCCGTTAATCTCGGCGCTGCTCTTATGTGGCAGTTGGCGTCAGGACGGTTGTCGTCACTGCATGCGCGAGATTCTCGGAGCAGCTGGTCGTGCGAGTTGAAGTTTTCACGTGGTCGTCAACTACGCACGAAGAAATCGGAGTTAATGCGTGCGGCACGTAGCGTCGGGCGATTTCGTCACGTTGCGCACGAGAATTTCGGACGTCTTCGGCAAGTGACATGCGGCGTCACTGTGCGCGAAGATTTTCGGGTGGCATCACGGCAGAAACGACAGCTGGCCGGGCAGGCCAGGCGCATGGTGATTTGCATCGGAAAAAGCAACGAGAGGCGGCGTGGCGACTGCCCGAAGAAAGCGGGGAGTCTACCGCCGTCCCGCCCGGGTGTGGCCGGTGTGGCTGCAGGAGGGTGCGTCGTTGGCGTTTTCGGCAGGTGCGGCACAGTGTGGGACGGAAGTTATTTTCGAACCGCTGAAAAGTTCGGAAAAGGCCGCCTACGACTAGACTGTCTACGTTAGGGTCACTTTTGCGCCTGCAACAAGGTCGGCCGAAATTTTCGGAGCAACAGCAGCAGCCGACACTGTACTCCATGTAAAGAAACGAGGGAATGATTGACTAGTGGGAGGTTGGGTACAAGTACAAACCCTAGAAACATTGTACCCCATATGTGCTACCCCACTATAGCCTACACAGGCTAAGTCATATAAATCTGACACACCCCCATAGGCAAAGTGGGGGAGAACAAGGGGTCACAAGACCAGTCAAGCAAAGCAAAGCAAGCTTAGGGTGGATCACAACGTCACCACACATTCCGAGCACAAGTTCAAGGCCACAAGGCCAGTTCACATGCAAGATCATATATAAGAGTAAACAAGCAAGTGCAGGTATAGATAGATCACAGTACAAGCAAGGTCAAGAAGTGAGCAAGTGAGGCCAAGTAGGCACAAGACCTAGCATCGTACAGCACCGCTGATGATCACAAGGCGGAAGTGCCTTGGTAAAGATATCAGCAGTGTTGGCCTCAGAGGCCACGTAAGCAAGGCGCAGCTGACCACGCTGCTGTAGCTCACGAGCAAGGAAGTAACGAAGAGCAATGTGCTTCGTTCTGTGCTCCAGTCTGTGCTCCCGACACAAGGCCAGCATGGCCTTGTTGTCTACGTACAGAACTGGAGGAGAACGAGGCGGCTCTCCTAGGTCAGTCAGCAGGTAGGTGAGCCAGCGTAGCTCCTGTGCAGCCATGGCCCCCGCGTAGATCTCAGCCTCACAGCTGGAGCCGAGAACAGAAGACGAGCGGGTAGACCGCCACGAAACAGAGTCGGAACCAAGGCTGAAGGTGTAACCCTGTGACGACCGCTGCGTAGCCTGGTCGTCAGCCCAAGAAGCGTCTGCGTGACCTGTGAGGACCACTGAACGCCGCCCTCCAAGCACTAGCCCCATGCCCGACGTACTGCACAAGTAACGCAACACCCTCTTCACTGCAGCCATGTGCTCTGGTCGGTGTCTCCCAGGAGCAACATAGCGTGCCAAGATGCTAAGAGGGTATGCGAGGTCAGGTCGTGTGCAGGTCATCAGGTACATGAGGCAGCCAACAAGCTCTGGGTACGGGCCACTCGGCTCTACGGACTCATCCGAAGGCAGAGCTGAGAGCGAGTGGCGAGTAGACAGAGGAGTGGCCTGAGGCGAGGAGTACGTGAAGTCGAAGCGCTGAAGGACCTGCTGCACCATGTGTGACTGAGTCAGGGTAATGGTGCGCTGTGCTCTGTCCCGGGTGATCTGCAAGCCAAGGTAGCTGCGCAGTTCACCCAGGTCTGTGCACGTGTGTCTCTTCTGCAGCTCCGACTTCACGTGGGCGAGTCCAGCAGTGTCAGCAGTGGCAAAGACCAAGTCGTCGACGTACACGAGGATGTAGAACGGCGGCAGAGAGGTGTCGGTGCGCAGAAACAGCGACGGGTCGGCGGTAGAAGGAGCAAACCCAAGAGCTGCAAGTGTAGTCCTCAGTGTGTCGTGCCACTCACGGGGCGCCTGGCGGAGACCGTAGACTGGCCGCCGGAGGCTCCACTGGGTACCAGGAGGAAACGACCCAGTGAAGCCAGGTGGGCGGCGCAGCCAGATCTCATCGTGCAGGCTGCCCTGCAAGAAAGCTGTGCTGAAGTCAAGAGAGTGAAGCTCGTAGTCGCGCTGAGCGGCTATGTGCAGCAGCACCCGAAGAGTGGTCATCTTCGGGGTGGGAGAGAAGGTCTGAAAGTAGTCAACTCCCTGCCGCTGACTGAAGCCTCGAGCCACGTAACGCGCCTTGAAGACAGGCGGAGAACCCGGCGGCCGCTTCACCCTGAAAATCCACATGCCACTGACGATGTTCGCCCCAGGAGGGGGAACCTCGTCGACGTAGGTGCCTGTGGACTTCCAGGAAGCCATCTCTGCGTCCATGGCTGACTGCCACTGAGAGGAGTAGGGACCCTCGATCGCCTCAGCGTACGATCGAGGAGTAGGGATGTCTGGTGCATCCGGGTCTCCCTCAGGGGCAATCAGCGTGGACACGAGATGAGGCAAAGCAGCAGCAAAACACTGGAACTCCTCCTGTCTATCCTCAAGAACGTCCGTGCCAAGAGCACACTCACCCCCGACGGACGGAGGACAAACAGACGCAGACTCAGCAACAAGACTCGCAGCGTAGTCTAGACGACAACGAGCAGCGAAGTCGACCAGCTCAGCAACTAAGGCAGACGCAGCAGTGGACTCAAAGGAAGGGTCAGTGACAACAGTAGCCAGGAGACGCGTGACAGTCGGACTGGCAGCACGAAGAGAGTCAGACTCCGGGTCAGCAAGAGCAGGAAGAGAGGACTCTGGAGGAGACGGCAAAGGGACGCGCTGCGGAGCAGTGGAAGGTCGCAGTGCCATCCGGTGCGTGCCCGGGACCTCAGGAGGACGCTGACGCGGAACACGACGACTAGTGCGGACAGCACGAACAGGCGACGCAGGACGAGACGCAGGCTCACGACGCTCAGTAAGACCTCCAGTAGGACCATCGTACGGAGAAGGAGCAGGCAGTGGTGAGGCGGGCTGTAACTGTGACTGTGACAGGACAGGCTGTGGACACTCTAAGGGAGGAGTACCAGTAGAAGGCGGGAGACCAAGAACCTGCTCAAGGAGCGGAACGAAGTACGGCCGCGGCCGCGCAGCGCCTCCAGAAACGGCAGGGACAGCACCAGTACCCCCAGCGGCAGCACCAGCGCCAGCAGCACCTCCAGCTCCAGCAGCGCCAACTCCAGCACCCTCAGCAGCTCCAGTACCTCCAGCAGCACCAGCAGCACCTCCAGCAGCACCAGCAGCACCTCCAGCAGGACCAACTCCAGTAGCCCCAGAAGCACCCCCAGTCCCAGCAGCTCCAGTACCGCCAGTACGAGCACCTCCAGGACCAGTGGCTCCAGCACCTTCAGCTCCGACCCCAGGGTCAGCAGCACCAGCAGCACCACCAGCTCCAGCAGCACGACTCCAGCGCCTGGCAAACCACTCGCGCAGCTCCTGTGGAGAGGGTAGCTCCCGCCGAGACGAGGTACCCGAAGCACCCCCAGGCTCAGCGCCCCCAGGCTCCGCACCCCCAGGCTCAGCACCCCCAGGCTCCGCACCCCCAGGCTCAGCACCCCCAGGCTCCGCACCCCCAGGCTCCGCACCCCCAGGCTCAGCACCCCCAGGCTCAGCACCCCCAGACTCAGCACCCGCAGGCTCAGCACCCCTAGCAGCACCAGAGTGAACAGCTACCTCGACAGGCTCGACTGCGTCTACCTGGGACACACCTGACGGGGCAGGACCCTGAGGGGGGAGAGGGTCTACCGGAGGGGGTCCTGGCGCAAGGAAGAGCGGCGGCGGGGGGAGGGGCGCAGTGCGGTAGGGGAAGAGACGGTAGTAGGGAACCGACTCGTCAAAGGTGACGTCCTGGGAGGACAGAACACGGCGCGAGGTGGGGTGGTAAAACTGCCAACCAGGCGCGTCAGGGGGGAAACCAAGGAAGACGCAGGGAACAGCACGGGGGGACAGCTTGTCCGCAGAGAAGTCGCGGACAAACGCCCGAGATCCCCAGACACGAAACGCAGACGCATCGCCAACCTTCCCCGTCCACCGCAAGGTGGGGGAGGTCTCTGGCAAGGAGACTCGGGGCTGAAGGTTGATCTGATGCACCGCGTACTGAACCGCGAACGGCCACAGAAAATGGGGAGCAGCCGCATGGATCATGGACGTACGAGCGACGTCCATGACCATGCCAATGCGGCGCTCAGCAATCCCATTTTGCTGTGGAGAGGCCGGAAGCGTGTACGTCTGACGGATGCCCAGTGCACGGCAGAAGGCTCCCAGAAGGCCGGAGGAAAACTCCCCGCCTCTGTCAGAGTGCAGACGCAGAACAGGAAAGTCCGAGCCGAAACTCCTCCTGAGATGGAGACGAGCTGCGCGGATCCAGTCGATCAACACCCCACTGACGTCACCCTTGCTGCGCAAGGGGATCACCGTGGTGTAACGCGAGTAGTCGTCAACCACCAACAGGAAGTAACGCTCGTGACCCTGGCCACGGACGCGGGCGGGGCCCCACACGTCCATGTGAAGAGTCTGCAGCGGAGCCTCTGTCGGAGGAAACTCAGAGGAGTGAGGAGCGGCGCGCTGCCGCCCCTCGACGCAGGTAACGCAGGTAGGGGCAGGCCCCGGAGGAAGGGGAGGGAGGGACCGGGGGAGACCAGAGACAAGGTAACGGGAGGCCATGCCTCGGAGACGAGGCAAGGAGGGGTGACCAAGGCGGTGGTGCAAGAGGAGAGTCTGGTGGGACAAGAGACGACACGAGCAGGGAGCAGACTCAGGACTAGACCTGGACGCTGCAGCAAACACCTGACCCGACGCAGCTACCTGACCAGACTCAGCAGCCTGAGAAGGCCCAGTGGTCAGTGTGTACAGGCTCGACCCCGGCTGACGGGTAAACGTGGCCAAGTGGCGGCCCGTCCGAGCACACGTACAGTGGGTCACCCGCTGACTCGCAGGGGTGAACTGGTCAACCCCCCCATCCTGTAGATCAGCTCCACTCACCAAGTTCGTGGAGAACGAGGGTAGGTAGAGACCTGACAGGGTACCAGAGGGGGCAGCCGGACACGGTAAGACAGTGGAGAAGTGGGCAAGGACAGGACCCCCAGAGGGGTCAGCCAGGGAGACCGCAACTGGCCGACTAAGCGGCGTAAGTGTGGTGCGGTCTCGGAAGAAGGAGCGGGAAGCACCCGAGTCAAGGGTGAAGGTGTGTACAGCCTGAGCCGACGCGGTACCTGAGAGAGCAGACTCACCAGCACCTGAGGCCGCAGACGCACTAGCACCTAGAGCAGCAGCCTCACCAGCACCTGGGGCAGCAGACGCACTAGCACCTAGAGCAGCAGCCTCACCAGCACCTAGAGCAGCAGCCTCAATGCCCGGGTCAGGCGGAACACACAGGTAACAGTCACCCTCATCACTAGTAGACACAGCATACATGGCAGCAAGAATAGCATCATAATCCAGATCAAAGATCGCAACCCCCGACCTAAGCAGCTCGCCCCAGCGGGGGATCTCCGTGGCGTCAGGGAACTGGAGACGCCAAGCGTCCGTCAGGCGGCCGAAGCAGCGCTGGGTGGTGTGCGGGCCACCGAAGTCGACGGCAGCAGCAGAGGCAACAGAGGGCAGAAGAGGGGAGGGGGAGCACCCCTCAAAGAAGGGGGCACGAGGGTCACAACGAGAGGCTCCTACAGCTACTATACTCTTCTCAGCTGCTAGGAGGCGCTCCTCGAGGAGGTCAACGGTGAGTGTGGTGGGGCAAACAGAGAGGAAGTGGTCCCTGACTGGACGAAGGGAGTCAGGGAGCCGGGTGACTATGTAGTAGAGGGTGATGTACATGGGGGGGGGGTTCTTGGCGCAGAACTCAGCAGGAAGCGCAGCGCGGTAGCGGGTGTCACTAGTGCGAAGGTGCGTAATGAGGTCAGCGACTGTGGGAAAGGCGGCTAGGTCAGGGAACAGGTACGGCAGCATGAGGCGGCTAAGAGCAACAGTGGCAGGGGAAGAGTAGCGTGCAATGACAGCGTCGTACAAGGTCTTAGCACTCTTGTACTGGCTAAAGTGCGCGCGCTCAGTGGACGGCAAGTGACTACGCACAGCAAGACGGGCAGCAGCATCGCGTGTGGCCCACTGTGAGCGAACAGTGCTGTCAGCATCGGCAGCAGGGGCAGGAGAGGCGCCAGACGTGAGATCGAACAGTGAGAGACCGTCTTTCCTATCGCACTGTAAGAAGAGCTGCAGATCATCGACCGAGACCTCAAAGTCAATAGCCCGACCCTCAGCATCAAAGACAAGAACGCTAGGGGTAGCCATGACAGCAGTGGCAGCAGTAGCAGCAGTGGCAGTAGTGACAGCACAGTGCGGCGACACTCTTACCTGGGCAGAGAGCCGCAAGTGGTGGGGCAGGGCCGAGGCGCACCGGCAGGGACGAGCCGAGGCGCGCAGGTAGGGCCGAGGCGCACCAGCAGAGGCGGGCCGAGGCGCGTCGGTAGGGCCGAGGCGCACCGGTGGCTGCAGTCAGCGGCGGCGGCGGCTGCGGCCCCGAGGGAGGTGGCGGCGGCTGCTGCTGGTAACGGCTGCTGCAGCTGCGGCTTCCGCTGCAGGGACGGCGGCGGCTGCTGCTGCAGGGACGGCGGCGGCTGCTGCTGCAGGGACGGCGGCGGCCGCTGCTGTAGGGACTGCGACTGCTGCTGCTGCAGGGGCGGCGACGGCGGGCCGCGAAGGGCGGCGACAGGGCCGTGAAGGGCAGCGCGAGGGGCCGCGGAGGGCGGCGACGGGCCGTGAAGAGGCCGCGAGGGGCCGCGAAGGGCGGCGCGAGGGGCCGCAAGGGGCCGCACGAGGGGCCGTAAGGGCGGCGCGAGGGGCCGTAAGGGGCCGCGCGGGGCGACGCGAGGGGCCGACGAGCGGCGCGAGGGGCCGTAAGGGGCCGTAAGGGCGGCGCGAGGGGCTGTAAGGGCGGCGCGAGGGGCCGTAATGGGCGGCGCGAGGGGCCGTGAGAGGGGCCGCTAAGGGCGACGCGAAGGGGCCGTGAGGGGCCGAGAGAGGGCGCGACGGTAGGGAGGGCACACGGGGCGCGACTCGGGCAGGAGCAAAGCGCGCTCCGGGCAGGAAAAAAAAAATTTTCGTGGTGGGCCCTAGGAAGCGTTCCCACTAGGGAACCTGCTCGATGTGCTACCCCACTATAGCCTACACAGGCTAAGTCATATAAATCTGACACTTCAGGCAGCACAGGTTCCCCCTGATCAAGGGAAGTTGCGCCGCAGACAGGGCAGTACACCGACGGGACAACGGTTTATCGCAGCGTCTAGACCCGCGAATTTCGCCTGGTCTACCGGTCACAATAAACGGAGTTGCGACAAATACGGGTCTGGCGAGAGAAACGGATTCAGAGCTTCAGGAGGGGCGAAAACGACCTACTGCGACGACTTTTTGCTGAGGGCCGAGTTTTGCGGCTAAGCGGCGGTAGCAGAAGGAGCTCCCTACCGGCCAAAGTCTACCGACGTTTTCATATACCTCACGCCCAGAAGGCCTCGAAGGCAAGGTGTAAGTCCTATTGGCCACTGGATCCGAAGGTGGGGCCCTGTGTTTAGCCCTGTGCTGGCAAAAAAGCGCGGGTATTGCGCCAGTTCGACAGTCGGGCGTAAAGAAAATTTCATGGTGCGACACTGTTTCGGCCCCGACAAAACCGGACCATCGGCAGCAGTTACCCCGCCGACAAAGTCGGAGCTGAAGCAGTTGGTGCAGCTGTCGGAGTTTCTCCTAATTCAACGGTCTACCCGACGGCGGCGTAGCGGCGAAAAGGGGTTTCCGAAGCTGTGGAGTTTTAAACGCGATAGACGCGGTGGGCAACGAAGCGGCCGGCCCGACTGTTTGATCCGATAAACAAGATCCGGCTACGATAGCGTTCGCGCCTTCACCGAATGGCAGAAAAATCGCGTGCAACAACGAGCAATACCTCATCTGACAAAAGCGGACGCTGGGTGAACGGCGGCAAGCGAAAGTGTCGGGGGGTGAAGACAAAAAAAATGTGATGGAGGGAAAGTTGTGGGTGCTCCAGCAGATCACTTGAGTGAAAGGTTGAGAACGTGCAACACTCCACCGCGAATTTCGGAGTCTATTCGGTAGACTTCCGAAAGGGTTTGATATTGTTACATGGAGGCGCGGCGAGCGGTGCATCGCCAAGGATACCCGGGATTCGCTAAGTGGCTTCGACGGGTATGAAGATGGGTGAACATCGGAGTTCCTGGGTTAACGGCGGAAACGTCGGGGTTATGCGGCGGAAAATAACTTCGGGACTGCTTCAACAACCATGATTTTCGGGGTTTCATTCCAACGGTGGGAGACGGGTGAACGACTGCTCGCCAGCTGTTTCAGCGGTTTACGGTGTACTTCGAAGCCATCTGGGGAAATTCAACAGCGAGATCTGCGGCGTTGATGCGGGCTAGGTTCCATGAAATTCGGTCCCGGTAGACCCATAGTTCTGGGTTCCGCACAAAAAGCACCTCCTGTTGGTGGGTGGCTAGTGTGGTTAATCGCAGGAAATAAAAATGGCGACGGGTGGGCACGCTAGATACACCGGTTCTTCAAGGGGATAACCTGTAGGTGACCAAGACGTACAAGTGTTTTTCGACACCGACATTTACGGCGAGTTCGAGTATCGGTTTTACAAAAGTTCGGCGGTGACGGCCGACAACTTCGTGAAACGGCGGAGTTGCAGCGGCGCTGGGTTAAGCGCGCGAAACTTCCGTGGTAAATTTCATGGTGACAAAATCTGCAGAGTTTCAGGGGTACCAGCCGCAACACTGGTGAAGATTATCGCAACAGGTGGGGGGAGGAAGGACAGCTTTTTCGCCTCTGCCCCGGGAGTTTTCGGAGGATCAGGACAAATACCTCGGCGAGTCTGGACAAGACTGCCGGAGGTGCTGACGTCATATGACCCTTATTACGGGTCCGATGTGTTCCAGTGGTGAAAATTCTTGTTCTGTTACCTGACCCGACCATCTCGTCGATCGTCGTCACCGCGCGTCAACGACTTCGCCAAAACGACGCGACATTTCGACGACGAGCAAAAACGATCCAGGGTCACCGCCGTCGGAGTTTTCGGAATGGTTCCGATTTTTGCAAAGAACAACAGCAGCAAAATTCGGATGGCAGATGCTGCCAGCTGGGGATGCTGCAACAGTCAGGCATTACTGCAGCCACGACAACAAGACAGACGCAGTGATATTCGGTTTACACCTAGCCCGCGCTAACTTCACCGGCGGTATCTTCACCAGCTGGGGGTACTTTTCCGCGGTCAAGCTAGTTTATTAAGGTAGTTTCGGATCGAGTGGGGGTTGACTCATGCATACCCTCACCAGTTGAAGAAAAGTCGGAACTTGTTAAAAGCCAATTCCTGCCCTTCTCTCAGATCACTAAGTACGAGTGCATTAGACAGAAAATTTTATGGCTGTGAACTGTTAGCCCCGCAGTCCCTGGGTGACTATCTCATTAGACGGAAACGCATAAGGGGGGCCTGTAAGATACCGCGGGCTAGGTGTACTGATGCTGCCAGCTGGAGATACGGCAGCAGGTTCGATCTGCCACGCGGTGATTTTGTATGGCAGCCGCAGGACATGCTGGCGGCTGACGCGACAATAATGACAACAAGAAGGTTTCATCACGGGACATTGACCACGGGCTTCGACAGAATTTACCCTAGGCATTTTTGTGGGGTTTTCGGCAGTGAAGATTTCGCCACCGACAGAAATTTCAACTGCACAGCGGCTGAATTTCAGGCGAAAGGTCATAACACTTGGTATTCCGCGTCAGGGTGGTTGTGGTTTTGTGCCCGCGCAGCGGTGCACATTTTGATGGGCAGCAGTTATCTTCCCAGGGGGGGGAGAAAGAGTGCTCACGCACTGTTCTTGACAGGTCTCTGACATTTCGGCAGTTATTTCTGACAGTTCATCTGACACACCCAGCACGACGGACGCACGCGATGGCTTCATCGGCATCGACGGCACCAGATTCATCGATCTCTGACAACGCGACAGAATTCCCGCCGACATGACTTTCATCGGAACCATCCGATACACATCCGCGACATCGTCGGTTTTCCTTCGTCGAACGATTTCAAATCGACATTCGCTTTCAACCGCCCGATCGACATCTTCAGTATCGACGGCTGACATTCCAACTCTTTGAATTTCGCCTGGTCAACGCGTTCAGCCACGCGTCAACTCGAAAGTCAACATGCTTCCGCGCCGTCAGATCGGTTTTCGACCGAGATCTGCAGTTTTCATGCTACTGCAAGACTCGGCTATGTATAAGGGCACCTTATTTAGAAGGTGGGAGAGTGTAATGAATGTGAATTCGTTACTGTAGAGGCTCCTAGCGAGGACAGCCCGAACTGTTCGCGTCAGTTGGGCTCGGCCTACACTTGCGTACCGAACCAGCGCCGAGTCGCCCCGCACCAATCGCGACACTTCCAAGCCTCGCACGTCCTGAGGACCTCGCCTACCACGGTTTCGACCCTATAAATGCATGCCTCTTGATCATTCTCGTCATTCTGTAATTCTCATCCTTTTATAAAGTCTTCCGCGCACTCTTCTTAGTACAACTCATAACAATCAGACACATATGCATGATAATGATAAATGGTGATGATATATCTGACAGTAAAATAGCACGCATGATTTCATTTGCACATACAGGTGACAGAGCCTCCTTTCGAGTGATTACGAAATGTAAAATTTCTGCAACTTGAAACATGAAGTCCACGCGGACTTCATACAGTGACAGGAGAAACAAAATTCAGTCCACTTGATTCAATCAGGGTTCACCTCCAGATGCCTCAACGACCCTTGTGTTACGTGGTTTCTGGCTACTGGCTGCTGGTCACACATCCCCTCTACACGCCTTGGTCTGCCTCCACGAGCTCCAGGCATCGGGCCACGAGCGACAGCACCGTCTCCACTCCCATCCACTCCCGCACCCATGCCTGCTCATCCATCTCCTCCTCCCCCTCCTCCTCCTCCCCACCCACCCCATCCTCCTCCTCTCCACTCGCCCCTTCTTCGTCCTCATGTCCGCATCCAGTCCCTTCCCTACCACCCACGACCCGTGGTCTCCTGGATTCGAGGGATGCCCGCGCGGCGAGAGCGGCGGAGCGCAGAGGCAGGAGCCAGCAGTTGCGCGCGCGAAGCAGGCTGGGCTTTGTGCGGAGGGATGTGGGGGAGGGCAGGGGGAGAGGCGAGATTAGGGGGGTGGGGGAGAGGAGTGCGGTTGGTGGTTGCGGCTCCGTGGATTCTGTGGGAGTCACAGGAGAGGCAGTGGAGGTGGGCACTGTTTGCTGCTCTCTGAGGAGCAGGAAGCGCAGGAGGTTGAGCGCTGCAATGAGGGCGTCTGAGTGATCCGGCAGGCGGAAGGTCAAGGGTGGCGCGGGAGAGGAAGCAGAGGGGTCAAGGAGAAGGTCTAGCAGGGAGAGGATGGCTGGCGAGGCGAAGGCGGGGAGAGGGGGAGGAGAGAGGGGGTGGTTGGGAGGAGTGCTTGCGGGTGATTTTGATGGCGGTGAAGCTGGAGCTGACGTGGATGGTGGTGCTGACGTGGATGGTGGTGCTGACGTGGATGGTTGTGCTGATGTGGATGGTGGTGCTGACGTGGATGGTGCTAGGTGCAGCAAGCGAGGCCATGCTCGGTCCACTTCGTCCTTGGCGAATGACACGAGCAGAGCCACCTGGTGGGGGGTGAGTGGGGAAGGTGGGGATGAGAAGGCGGTGGGGGGAGAGGAACAGAAGGGGAAAGGAGATGGGTGAGATGAGAAGTGAGAAATGCAAGTCGAAGGGGGCTGGGCGAAGGGGGCTGGGCGAAGGGGGCTGCGGAAGTGCGGGAACGGGAGGGTGAGGAGACGTGGAAGAGAGAAGAGAGGCATGGGGTGCCCCTGCCATGCCTGCATGGGGTATGTGACAGCCCCTTGGGATCATGTCAGGACAAAGCATCCACTACATATTGCACCACACTGACCATCATGCTTCCTTCTCTGTACTCTACAATCAACCCCACTACACCACACCGCACCGCGCTCACCATCATACATTCGACCGTGCATTACACAATCAGTCCCTTGACATACTCCAACCTCCTCCCATCTATCATTGAGATGCCTCAGAAGAAGACAACCCAGTCACCAGTGCACCACACTCACCTCTGCACCATACTCCACCGCACTGCACTCACCAGCATGCTCTCTTCTTTGTACTCCAACCTCTCCCAGTCTGTCGCTGCCTTGCCCCAGAAAAAGAGACAACACTCACCAGTGCACCTGCACCGCACTGCACCACACTGCACTCACCAGCATGCTTTCCTCTCTGTACTCCACAATAAGTTTTTTCACACACTCCAGACGCTCCCCATCTGTCATCGCCGCCCGCAGCACTGCCAGCATGGCGCGGTGTGCCGCCCGGCGCAGCGCAGATGAGCCGACCGCTGACATCATCACGCCAGCCAATGACGACGCGACACGTGTCACTGTTTCTACAGCAATGGAGTCGTTATTGTCAGCAAATTGGTGTTTGTCTGTCAGCGATCGTGGTTGAGAGTGTGTGGGAGAAGGGGGGGAGTGTGAGTCGTTTTTCTCAGTGCAAGAGGAGGTGCAAGCATACAGAGCAGCATGAACCAATCGTATGCCAGCAACCCTTCTCAACACAACGTCTCCCACTCCTCCTCTTCTCCCTGCAACGCCAGCTGGAGAGCCAGCAGCAAGGAGGCAAGGAGCAAAGCGGAGCAGTGTGATGAGAGTGGTGCGGTCGACGGGAAGGGTGCTGCTGCTGGTGCAGGTGGTAGGGTGAGGCTTTGCAGCTTGGAGAAGCGCCCATAGCAGCAGCACCGCCACTCCCCCCTCCACCTCCCTTTGCACCGCACCTAACCACTCCTCTTCTCTCTTCAACCTCTCCGCTTCTCTCCTCTTCTTCTCTTCTCTGCTTGCTCTACCACCCTCTCCCTCCTCCTCATCCTCCTCATCCTCCTCTTCCTCCTCCTCCTCTTCTTCTTCCTCCTCATCTGGCCTCAGAAGAGCCTTCACCGCTCCCAGCCAAGCATTGCCGCCCAAAGCTCCATCCGCACGAGCTGCAGCAGCAGCAGCACCAGCAGGTGCAGGTGCGGCAGCAGCTGTATTGTCGTGAAGTTGGCAGGAGGAGCGGCACACAGTGAGGGAGAGAAGGTCCACAGAGGGGAGGAGAGAGTGTGCTGTGGCACTGGCAGCACCACCTTCTGTGCTCTCAGCACCACCGATTGCACCTGCTCTGCTGCTGCTGCTGCTGCTGCTGCTACAGCTGCTGCCTGTGCCCATGCTTCTAGGCGTGTATTCAGCTGCGCTCTCCCCTGGAATGAGTGGCCACAAGGCACCGAGGTGGCAGTGGAGAGCAGCCAGGGCGCTGAGCACGGGGAAGATGAGGGGGAAGGGGGGTGCAGGGAAAGGTGCAGGAAAGGGTGCTGGGTCTGAGGCAGGTGAAGGGGGCGAGAGTTTTGAGGGGAGAGCGGAGGGGGGTTGGGGATGGGAGGAGAGGATGGAGAGGAGGAAGGCGGAGCAGCGGGAGAGGGAGAGGAGCAGCAGCAGCGTGGCTGTCTGGGCCGCCAGCAGTAGCTGGGGGGAGATTTGCGGGTGAGAGGATATGTCGGTGCTTGCAGCCGCAGCGGCAGTTGCTGGGACGGGTGGGACTATAGAGCGCGTGACTGCAGTGAGAACGAGGTGCATGCAGCGATGGCACACCAACCATGCTGCCTCCGTGCTGCTGCTGGGAGTTTGAAAGAGGTCTGGGATGATGGAGTGAGTGCCAGGAGGGAAAGGAGGGGTGGGGGTGTGAGGGGGTTGAGGGGTGGGAGCAGGTGCGGTGGGGTTGGGAGGTGGGATGGGAGGAGATGCGTGAGGTGATGGGGGGATCATGGAGCGGGTGCCAGGAGGAAAGGGAGGGGTGGAGGGAGCAGGCAGTGCGATAGGGGGGTTGGCTTGCACAAGTGGTGTGATGGGAAGGGTAGGCTGCGGTGCTGGTGCAATGAGAGGGGTAGAGTGCGGTGGTGGTGCCCCTGGTGCGCTGATGGGAGGAGTGGGAAGCGAGGGCGACACAGAGAAGGAGGAGACACGCAGGGCGGAGGCACGTGAGGGGAAGGGGCTGGGAGGGGGCGGGGGAAGGAAGATTTCATCAGACAGAGGGGAGAGCGAGGGGAGAAAAGGAGTGGAGATTGGAGTTTGAGAGGCGGAGGTGCAGGGGGGAAGGGAGGAGAGTGTGTGCGGCGGTGTTGGTGGTGTTGGTGGTGTTGGCAGCAGTGTGTGGCGAGGTGGCAGCACGGCACAGTGAGAGGCCTGCTGGACAAGGTGCAGGAGAAGCGGCACCAAGTCGATAAAGAAGCGATGACGCTGGCGGGGGATGCGGGGGAGCGCTGGGGGGAGTGGGGGGAAAAGAGAATTTGGCGAGGGGAGAGACGCCGGTGAGTTACAGGGAGGAGTGGTGCCAAGTCGACAAAGAACCGATGGCGCTGGCGGGGGATGCGCGAGAGAGCTGCGAAGACACGGGAGGGAGGGAGAGGGGAGGAAGGGGTTTGGCGAGGGGTTGCAGGTGTAGAGGAAGGGACGAGATGTGAAGAGAGCAGAGATGGGAGCGACGAGGAGAAACACTAAGAAAGCGAAAATAATATTAGTTAGATAGAAAAACGGGTGGAAAGCGGAGGGAAGGCAAGCACACTGACTGTGAACTCATGCCGGCACTCTTATTGACCGAGCGAGCACTACACTACACCTGGCTGGCTGACTGCCAATTGCCTGCAGTACATCACTTGTGCAAATTCTCAAAAGCACTACACCTGACTGCACCTGACTGACTGCACGCACCGCAAGGCACTCACAGGCATGCGGCCCGGGCAAAAGGCCGAGGTGAGTGCTCAGCTCACGCGATGTTGGTTGGACTTCTCCAGAACAACTCTAACGAGTTGAGCGCACAGCAAATCATTTGATCCTGTGCAAGGCAGGTCCGTAACTGGTGTGTAGCCCGGTCAGCAGGGCAAGCCGAGTGCTTTTTTGAGAGTTCTTAACAACAGCCAACCTGAACACACCCTGCAGCACCTAATGTGATCTGATCTAATTTGATCTGATCTGATTTCATCATAAGCAATTCGCGGCACTCACTGGTGTGCAGCCCGGTCAGCAGGGCGAGCTGAGTGCCAAACGGCGCCACACAGTCATTCCAAATCGCTCCTCCCTCCCCTCCCCTATCCTCCCCCTCCACCTCCCCTCCCTCCCCCTCTCCCCTCTCCTCCAACCCCAACTGCGCCGCCCGCCTCACGGCCCCAGACAGCCCCTCCACGAGAGCGGCATGCACCTCGCGGGTGTCACCCGCCCCAGATGCCACCTCCTCCACCGCCCGGCACGCCAGCGCACAGCAGCACGGGGAGGCGTCGGCTGGTGCAGGTGGTATGTGGGATGGTGATGGTGTGGAGGAGGGCGAGGAAGGAGGGGAGGGAGGGGGAGAGGAGGGAGGGGAGGAGAGAGGGGAGGAGGAGAAGGGGAGGGAGGAGGGGAGAGGCGAGGAGAGGAAGCGGAGGATGTCCCACGATGCCCGGTCGATGAGGAGAGACGCCTGGTGGGTGGGGATGGGAGAGGAGGGCGGGGGGGGGGAGAATGGAGGAGGATTGTTGGCAATTGGGGCGTGATGAGGTGAGGTGTGGCATGGTGGGCGGCATGGTGGGTGGCATGGTGGTGGGCGGCATGGTGGGTGGCATGGTGGGTGGCATGGTGGGTGGCATGGTGGTGGGTGGCATGGTGGTGGGTGGCATGGTGGGTGGCATGGTGGGTGGCATGGTGGTGGGTGGCATGGTGGTGGGTGGCATGGTGGTGGGTGGCATGGTGGTGGGTGGCATGGTGGTGGGTGGCATGGTGGTGGGTGGCATGGTGGTGGGTGGCATGGTGGTGGGTGGCATGGTGGTGGGTGGCATGGTGGTGGGTGGCATGGTGGTGGGTGGCATGGTGGTGGGTGGCATGGTGGTGGGTGGCATAGTGGTGGGTGGCATGGTGGTGGGTGGCATGGTGGTGGGTGGCATGGTGGTGGGTGGCATGGTGGTGGGTTGCATGGTGGTGGGTGGCATGGTGGTGGGTGGCATGGTGGTGGGTGGCATGGTGGTGGGTGGCATGGTGGTGGGTGGCATGGTGGTGGGAATGCATCCCATGAGGTAGGGCGGAGGAGGAGACATTGCTGATGGACGAATGGAGGGTGTGGGGGGGAAATGAAGGGTCGTCTCAAACAGAGGAAAGAGCGGGGGAGGTTGGAAAGCGGAATGGGTTGAGAGGGAGGAAAGGGATGAGAGGAGGGTTGATGGTTGTGGAGGGGTGTGTAATGAAAGGGGGTAAATGAAGACGGGAGCGGGTGAGGACAGAGATGGGATGGGGTGGGATGGGGGCATGGTGGCAGGGTATGTTCCTGAGGGGTACATGGATGGATGGAAGGAGAGGGAGAGGTGCTGCGGCATGTCAGGGGGTTTGTTGGGCCGATACGAGGAGAAAAAAGAGGTGAAGAAACGCTCGATTCTTTGCCTGACGGGGAAATGCAGGCGATGCTATATGAGTCATGCGCGAGTGGATGACCTTTTTCCTCACCCCACCTTCCCCCCTCTCACCCCACCGCCTCATCATCCCTCCTCCCCCGCACTACCTGGCGGCCTGACAGCAGCGACATCAGCAGCTGCAGCACGCGCCACACGGCGGGCTCCCGACTCTGCTCATCCGCACCAGCACGAGCGGAACAGCCTTCGCTTTCCGAGTCCTTTCCAGCAGCATCCGCACCGCCATTCACGGCAGCACGCGCCTCGGGGCCCTCCACTCCTGCTCCTCCTGCTCGTGCTGCTTCCCCTGTCTCTCCCTCTTCTGCTGCTGGTTTCCGCGAACTTGCGCATCCCTCGTCGCATCCCTCCTCCAGCAGCCGCCTCAGCTGTGCTGACGTGGCCTCGATCTCCTCGAGTGACGTGTCCGGCAGCTGACACAGCCGCTCCGCGCAAGCGCGGACCCTGTCTTGCCACGTAGCCATTCACGATTGGCTTATCGCCAGACGGTAAGAAAATCAAGCAAGGGAGGGTGCGCGCATGTGGCACTGTAGAGTTAGAGGGGCATCGCTATACCCGCAATCGTCGCTCGACACTCATACGACGAGGACCTATCACAAGGTTACGATGCTTTACGACAGACTCGGCGTTTAGCGGATCAGCGAGTGTCGCTGCGACGGAAAGCGCGGGCCCTGGGAGGCCATCCTTAGAGGAAATGACGGACCGCCCTGGCTCGGGTTTCCGATTCCTTACTACATGGACCAATGGCTTGTGTGTCGACAAAGCGCCACGGTAGTTTGAATGGCATGCGAGCCGTGGAAGAGTCTGTTCTGAGGAGGAAATCTCATGCGATAAAAAGCTACTCGATTTCACACGAGACCGTTGTGTTTGTAATTATGTTTTCTCCCACCATCATTAACAACATTTCTACATAAGAAATATACAACTGCATTTCATATTTTTGTTCTTCAAAAATTCTGTACAGGAAGCCAGCTGCAAGGGTGCCATCAGGACAGCCTTGACTGTGGTCAAGGTCACGTTGCATTCCCTTACACCCAGCCCAGACTCCAGCACGACAATTGATTCTCTTCTCAAGGTGAGCGTCCCATCCCATCCCATGATTCCATCCCGACAGCCGCACCCCATTGAATTGAACACTCCTGTGGCTTGGAAGCGTTTCAGCTCGGTTAGCAGCGCATACTGCAAGGTGCTGAGCTGGCAGGAGCAACACTACACTGCAAGCCAGCTCACAGCGATCGATCACCAAGCTAGCATGCGTTGCCTTGCCGGCTTCATCCCATCACAGCGCTGTGCTCCCTCCTCGTAGGTATCATATATTCCTTGTGAAGTGCTCCTTCTGACATGACAAACCAGGCCCATCACATCTTTGAAGCGCCTTAGAGATACCTACCTACCGGTAGTAGTATTAGGTTAATGAAGGGCTAAGGCAAGGATAGCCCAGGCCCAGCACCGCACATGACCCCACCGCACCGCACAGCACACATAGCAGCTGCATGCTGCTGCCCGGAGAAGCGATTATTGTAGGACCTGAAAGATGGGCTCATAGTGTTGCTGCAGAGAGAGAAGAGACGGGATGGGCATGGCATGCTCTTGGCAGGTGACTGTCCAGGCAGAAGGCAGCATCTCTTCGCTTCACTCCCTCAGACGACAGCTGGTAGACGGCAGCATCTCTCCCCACCAACCACCACCTCCAGTCTCGCATCCAACCCCACCTTACCGCTCTCCACCCCCCACCCCTGCCCCAGCACATGCGTGGACGGCCTTTAATCCTGCCCTTCTTCCCTCAACCAGACCTACTTTCTTCCTTAGCGCCCTCCATCCCTCTATCACCGCCCCTCAAAGTTGGTGGAGATGGGCGGCTGGTGCGTTGTCGAGTGCAGCACAAGCGAGTCCGCCCCGCCAACTCCAACCAACTAGCACAGCATCCCCTCCCCCTCCTCCTCCCCTGCTCCCCGCCACAAGAATGGACGGCTCAGATACATAGCTGGGGTCGAGGCGCTCTGAATCTCCTCCACCCACTCCTCTCCTAAACACCTATATGCCTGTCACCGCCCCGCGAAGTTGGTGGAGATGGGCGGCTGGTGTGTTGTCGAGTGCAGTGCTAGCGAGTCTGCCCCCCCAACGCCAACCAGCTCCAGCACCGCATCCCCTCCTGCGCCTCCTCCCCTGCTCCCCGCCACGGGAGTGGACGGCTCAGATACATAGCTGGGGTCGCTCTCGCGCTTGAGGCGCCGTTGGATCTCCACCAGCCACGTCAGCGCGTCGGTCATCTCGGGGCGGTGGCGAGCCTTGTCTCTAGTGCACTTGTCGGCTATCTCCGCCATGGCTTTAATGGCTTCTTTGTCGTAATCCCCCTTGAATGCCGGGTCCACTATCTCCTCTAGGTTGCCTTTTTTGAGGTACATGATCGCCTGGGAAGGGGAGGAAGACGGAAGGAGAGGTGGGGGGACAGGGGGAAGGGTGGAGGGGCAAGGGACAGGTTAAAGGAGCCGGGAAGGGACAAGGGGAGAGCAGGAGGGGGAAGGGGAAGGGATGTAAAGGTGGCGCGCCTTGTCTCTAGTGCACTTGTCGGCTATCTCCGCCATGGCTTTAATGGCCTTCCTGTCGTAGTCCCCCTTGAATGCCGGGTCCACTATCTCCTCTAGGTTGCCCTTCTTCAGATACATGATCGCCTGGTGGAGGGAAAAAGGGAGGAGGGGGGGGGAGGGGGAAGGGATTGGGGACCAGGGACAGGGTAGGAGCAGAAAATAGACAGGGGGAGGGGAGAGAAGGAGGGTGAAAGGGAAGGGATGTCAGCCAGTGTGCCTTGTCTCTAGTGCATTGTCGGCTAACTCTGCCATGGCTCGTATGGCCTCCCTGTCAGTGTCTCTTACTCTTTTCAGTGCCGGGTCCACGACCTCCTCTAGGTTGCCCTCCTTCAGATACATGATCGCCTGGAAGGGGAGGGGAGTGGGGACGTGACAGGGAACGAGACGCCACCCATGTGGGAGGGAATGGTGGGACCACCCATGGGGGGAAGGGAGTGAGGGAGATGGTTGAAATCGGAACAGGTGGAGGGATGAGGAAGAGGAGAGGCAAAAGGTGGAGGGATGTGAGGGGAGGAGGGGGGAAGAGCAGAGGTCTGGAAGGAGTCGAACAGGGAAAGGAGGATGCGGACGAGGGGATGTCTCGACTTGGGTTGGATTGGAAGGAACTCACACCCCGTCAGGCTATCTCATTGCCAATCAATTATCGACTATCCCATCCCATCGCATCTCCTCCCACCCCACTCCAACACATCCCATCCCATCCCATCCCACCCCACCCCACCGCACTCACCCAGATGGGCAGCTGCATGAAGCAAGGCCCGTCGCCTGGGCCTGAGTCGGGGTCCTCCACCTCTAGGATGGGCGATTTGCCCGTTATGAGCTCCCACAACACCACTCCGAAACTGCACGACACGAAGGGCCCAAAGGAAGTGGAGAGGAGTACAGCAAGGTGGAGAGGTGTTGAGAAGGGTGGAGCAGGCTCAAGCCTGAGTCCTCCACCTCTAGAATGGGCGACTTGCCTGTGATGAGCTCCCACAGCACCATCCCGAAGCTGAGAATCAGGAAGGAGAGGGATATGGGGAGGTAGAGAGGTGTTCAGAGAGGTGAGGCTGACGCCAGGGCTCTCCACCTATAGAATTGGCGACTTGCCCGTAATCAGCTCCCACAGCACCACTCCGAAGCTGCATGGAAGGCACGGTAGGCCACAGAAACAGGGGAAGGGAGAGGGGGAAAGAGAAACCGGAGATAGGTAAGTGAGCCATTATCCCCCTGTGATCACCTCCCACAGCACCCTCCGCAGCTGCGAAGCAAGGAGGAGAGGAGTACACTGTGGTAGATATAGGTTGAGAGGGGTGGGGTGGGGCAGTTGAGAGAGAACCAAGGGAATTGAGTGAGGAGGAGAGGGTGGCACGGCATAAGGCTTGCTGAGGCGTCTCAAGGGCCTGCCGGAGGTAACTCAACGTAAGAATCCTCTGGAGCAGACGACTCTGGAGCAGACGACTCTGGAGCGCAACTCTGGGTGGAACAGGCTCGCGTCTCGGTGCTCTGCTACTGGGATGGTCGATTTGGCCGATACCAGCTCCCATCCCACAGCACCCCTCTTAACCCATGGCAGCGGATGCGGAGAGGCAAAAGGACTCTACTCGACTTGTGGTAATGTTTGAGCCGTGTGCCATGAGCAACCTGTACACATCGCACTTGGTGGTGACCTTGCACGTGTAGCAGTATTCTGAATCCGCATAGCCTGGTGTGCCTTTGGAGAATTCTCAAAAGCACTCCACACCCTGAGCTGAGGGGCTCAGGACGAAGGAAAGGAGCCAAGCCAGCGTTCGCCTCGAGTCAAACCTGCAAGTGACTGCAAGTGTGGGGCATGCGGGTCATCAACACACCTGTACACATCACACTTGGTGGTGACCTTCCTCGTGTAGTAGTACTCAGGGTCCACATAGCCCGGCGTGCCCAGCACTCCACTCCAGCGTTCGCGTTGACTCAACCCTACGGTCGACTGCAAGTGTGGTGCGGAGCAGAGTGAAGCAACACACCTGTACACATCACACTTGGTGGTGACCTTCCTCGTGTAGTAGTACTCAGGGTCCACATAGCCCGGCGTGCCCAGCACTCCACTCCAGCGTTCGCGTTGACTCAACCCTACGGTCGACTGCAAGTGTGGTGCGGAGCAGAGTGAAGCAACACACCTGTACACATCACACTTGGTGGTGACCTTCCTCGTGTAGTAGTACTCAGGGTCCACATAGCCCGGCGTGCCCAGCACTCCACTCCAGCGTTCGCGTTGACTCAACCCTACGGTCGACTGCAAGTGTGGTGCGGAGCAGAGTGAAGCAACACACCTGTACACATCACACTTGGTGGTGACCTTCCTCGTGTAGTAGTACTCAGGGTCCACATAGCCCGGCGTGCCCAGCACTCCACTCCAGCGTTCGCGTTGACTCAACCCTACGGTCGACTGCAAGTGTGGTGCGGAGCAGAGTGAAGCAACACACCTGTATACATCACACTTGGTGGTGACCTTCCTCGTGTAGTAGTACTCAGGGTCCACATAGCCCGGCGTGCCCAGCACTCCACTCCAGCGTTCGCGTTGACTCAACCCTACGGTCGACTGCAAGTGTGGTGCGGAGCAGAGTGAAGCAACACACCTGTACACATCACACTTGGTGGTGACCTTCCTCGTGTAGTAGTACTCAGGGTCCACATAGCCCGGCGTGCCCAGCACTCCACTCCAGCGTTCGCGTTGACTCAACCCTACGGTCGACTGCAAGTGTGGTGCGGAGCAGAGTGAAGCAACACACCTGTACACATCACACTTGGTGGTGACCTTCCTCGTGTAGTAGTACTCAGGGTCCACATAGCCCGGCGTGCCCAGCACTCCACTCCAGCGTTCGCGTTGACTCAACCCTACGGTCGACTGCAAGTGTGGTGCGGAGCAGAGTGAAGCAACACACCTGTATACATCACACTTGGTGGTGACCTTCCTCGTGTAGTAGTACTCAGGGTCCACATAGCCCGGCGTGCCCAGCACTCCACTCCAGCGTTCGCGTTGACTCAACCCTACGGTCGACTGCAAGTGTGGTGCGGAGCAGAGTGAAGCAACACACCTGTACACATCACACTTGGTGGTGACCTTCCTCGTGTAGTAGTACTCAGGGTCCACATAGCCCGGCGTGCCCAGCACTCCACTCCAGCGTTCGCGTTGACTCAACCCTACGGTCGACTGCAAGTGTGGTGCGGAGCAGAGTGAAGCAACACACCTGTACACATCACACTTGGTGGTGACCTTCCTCGTGTAGTAGTACTCAGGGTCCACATAGCCCGGCGTGCCCAGCACTCCACTCCAGCGTTCGCGTTGACTCAACCCTACGGTCGACTGCAAGTGTGGTGCGGAGCAGAGTGAAGCAACACACCTGTACACATCACACTTGGTGGTGACCTTCCTCGTGTAGTAGTACTCAGGGTCCACATAGCCCGGCGTGCCCAGCACTCCACTCCAGCGTTCGCGTTGACTCAACCCTACGGTCGACTGCAAGTGTGGTGCGGAGCAGAGTGAAGCAACACACCTGTACACATCACACTTGGTGGTGACCTTCCTCGTGTAGTAGTACTCAGGGTCCACATAGCCCGGCGTGCCCAGCACTCCACTCCAGCGTTCGCGTTGACTCAACCCTACGGTCGACTGCAAGTGTGGTGCGGAGCAGAGTGAAGCAACACACCTGTACACATCACACTTGGTGGTGACCTTCCTCGTGTAGTAGTACTCAGGGTCCACATAGCCCGGCGTGCCCAGCACTCCACTCCAGCGTTCGCGTTGACTCAACCCTACGGTCGACTGCAAGTGTGGTGCGGAGCAGAGTGAAGCAACACACCTGTACACATCACACTTGGTGGTGACCTTCCTCGTGTAGTAGTACTCAGGGTCCACATAGCCCGGCGTGCCCAGCACTCCACTCCAGCGTTCGCGTTGACTCAACCCTACGGTCGACTGCAAGTGTGGTGCGGAGCAGAGTGAAGCAACACACCTGTAGACATCGCACTTGGTGGTGACCTTGCACGTGTAGTAGTATTCGGGGTCCACATAGCCCGGCGTGCCCAGCACTCCACTCCAGCGTTCGCGTTGACTCAACCCTACGGTCGACTGCAAGTGTGGTGCGGAGCAGAGTGAAGCAACACACCTGTACACATCACACTTGGTGGTGACCTTCCTCGTGTAGTAGTACTCAGGGTCCACATAGCCCGGCGTGCCCAGCACTCCACTCCAGCGTTCGCGTTGACTCAACCCTACGGTCGACTGCAAGTGTGGTGCGGAGCAGAGTGAAGCAACACACCTGTAGACATCGCACTTGGTGGTGACCTTGCACGTGTAGTAGTATTCGGGGTCCACATAGCCCGGCGTGCCCAGCACTCGTGTGCTCACTGCCTCCGATGCGCCCTTGCCGCCACTCGCCCCGTCCACCATGTTCTTGAAGAACCCAAAATCCGCCACCTTGGGCTGGTGGGGTGGGAAACATTGCAGAGGTAGGAGAGGGAAGATAAGCAGGCTTTACAGACTCAACAGCCCTCCTTGCCGCCACTCGCCCCGTCCACCATGTTCTTGAAGAACCCAAAGTCCGCCACCTTGGGCTGGAGGGGTGGGGGAAGGACACAAGCCATAGTAGGAGAGGGACGATAAGCAGGCTTTACAGACTCAACGGCCCTCCTTGCCGCCACTGGCCCCGTCAACCATGTTCTTGAAGAACCCGAAATCCGCCACCTTGGGCTGGTGGGGAAGGAAGACACAAGCAGCGGTAGGGGTGGGAAGATGAGCAGGCTTCACTGACCCACACACCCTCTCAGCCTGCCGCCACTCGCCCCGCCCACCACGTTCTTGAAGAACCCAAAATCCGCCACCTTGGGCTGACAGGGAGGGAGCGGGGAGCAGGCAACAAGGGTGTGGTGACAGAGGGCGTGTGCAAGTCAGAAAGGGAGAGAAGCAGATGGGAGGGTGTGATGCGCCCTTGCCGCCACTCGCCCCGCCCACTATGTTCTTGAAGAACCCGAAATCCGCCACCTTGGGCTGATCTCAAGGTAGAATGGGAAATGGAGCAGATGGGGGAAGCATAGCAGATGAAACAGTAATCTGGCCGCCACCAGTCGCCCAATCCAATCAACTGTGTTCCTAAAGGAAAGGAGGGACCACCTTCCTGAGCAGGAGAATGGAGCAGAATGGGGGAGGCAGGGTAAATGCATGCTTCTCATCGACGGCCCAGAAGGCCCATTGCTGCCACTCGCAGCACACAGCCCGCCTGTTCACTTTCGACAGCACTTGCGGCACACAGCCCGCCTGCATGTTCGCATCAAGCAGGATGTTTTCGCTCTTCACATTACACGGTACAGGACGGAGGGCGTGCGTGGTGAATGGAAGGGCGGATGCACAGGCAGGCAGAGGGACCCACGACCAGGCAGGAAAGCGGGCGAGAGGGAGGGAGGGGCGGCAAGGGCAGCTCGCTCGCTCACCTGCATGTTCTCATCGAGCAGGATGTTTTCGCTCTTCACGTCGCGGTGCACCACGGAGGGCGTGGTGAAGTTGTGCAGGTATCGCAGCCCCTCAGCCGCCCCCACTGCCACGTCCACGCGCTGCAGGAAGGTCAGCCCTAGCTTGTGCGCGTCGGGGTGCTCTAGAGCGGCTGGGGGGAGACGCGTGAGTGGGGGGTCACGTTGACAAGGGGAGATGTTGGGAAAATATTGGGAAGGTGCGAACAAGGATGTTGGTCAGTCCTAGCTTGTGCGCGTCAGGGTGTTCTGGAGCAGCTGGAGAGAGGGCAGTGAATGGGGGGGGTGGTGGGGAGGGGAGACGGGAGATGACGCGGAGATGGAGGAAGTCGGGAACGGTGATGGGGGGAACGGAGGCGAAGGGAGTAAGGGGGCCAAAGCGAGGCATGAGTGAGAAAGGTCAGAAGCGTAAGGGAGAGGAGAGGTTCGACTTTTCTACCACACACAGCGAAACCTTTTTTTCTTTCGTAAGGTGGAAGCAGCAGCGATGGGACTCACCTTTGGAGGGGCGCAGGTGTTGCCGCAGATTCCCATTCGGCACAAACTCGTACACCAGGATCTGCAGCACATACGACCAAGAGAGGGATCACCAGAAAAGGGGTGCTCTGAAATATTAGGCAAAACAGAAAACCCAGCCCATGCATCAGGACATGGGAATGAATCAAGAAGAGTGAAGGAGAGAAACATACGGACCAAGAGCTTCCTCGAATCGCTATGCTGCTCCCGTAAACAACAACCCTACCTGCCCTTCACCTGCTCAGACCCCCACTGCTTACCTGCTGGCCTCGCCCTGGTCGTCACGTCACATGAGCCCAGCCCAGCAGCTTTACCAGACTGCTGCATCCACTTGCTGTTGAGCCCAGCCCCCATCGCCCCTTGCTTCTCTTCCCCTGCCCCTTCAACCCATCCCTTCAACCCGCCCCTCACCTGCTCGCCTGGTCGTTGCAGGAGCCCAGCAGCTTCACCAGGTTGCAACTTGGCTGCCCTTTCAACCTTCCAACATTCCCTTCAACTCAAGCCCACAGCACCGCACTGCACTGCACTGCACTGCACTGCACCGCTCCGCACCGCACCGAACCGCCACTACTGTGCTCACCTGCTCGCCCTGGTCGTCACAGAAGCCCAGCAGCTTTACCAGGTTGCGATGATTGGTCTGCGAGATGAGCTCCACCTGCCCACGTGGGAGGGGGATGTGGGGGGGAGGGAGGAGGAGACCGTAAGGGGGAAGAGGAGAAAGAAAGGGAGTCGAAAGGAGGAAGGGGAAGAGAGAGAAGGGGAATGAGGGGATGGGAGGGGATGTAATAATAGTCCAGAACGCAGTTTGCTCATCGCACCTCAATCAACCACCCTCTTTCCTCAGCCCGTCCTGAGATCTTGCAGCGCCTTGGCAGGGATTCTCGCCGCAAACCTCTTTACAGCCCACCACAGCATGCCGTGAGCTCCCTCTCCCAGAAACACCCTCAACCCACAAAAAACCCATCTCCCCCTCCCCCAGATACACCCGTCCATACTCGCCTTCCCCCAAATACATCCTCACCCAGAAACAGGCTCCTCACTCCCACTCCCACTCCCACTGCCACTCCCACTCCCACTCCCACTGCCACTCCCACTCTCACTGCCACTCCCACTGCCACTCCCACTCCCACTCCCACTGCCACTCCCACTCCCACTCCCACTCCCACTCCCACTCCCACTCCCACTGCCACTCCACCAACACACCTCATTCCTGAAGTCTTGTAGCCCTTTGGCTGTAGATCTCGCCTCGAGCCTCTTAACCGCCCACTGCACGCCATGAGCGCCCTCCCCCAGGTACACCCGCCCGTACCCGCCCTGCCCCAGCACCCTCTCCTCGTCCCAGTTGTTCGTCGCTGCTGCCACCTCCTTGAGCGAGTAGACCTGCACGAAGCGCTGCTGCAGCGCCCAGCCAAAGGACGAGGAGAGCGCCTGGTTGCCCAGGAAACCAGAGCCTGATATGGATGACACTGTGTGGGGTATGGGGAGGGGGGTAGATGGGGGAGGTCACGGGGAAGAGGGGTAGGAGGAGAGGGAAGGGGAGTGGGGGGGGATGGGAGGTGGAAGACAGAGAGCGAGTGGTGGTTGAAGGGACGGGTCAGAAGCAGCTGCCATCTCATTGAGCGAGTAGAGTAGACCTGCACAGTATGAGTGAATAGCGGGACTGACGAGCAGAGTCAAGCTCGACCCCATGCTGGCAGCGATGGTGCTGGTACTCGTGGGGGGGGGGGAGCGAGGGAGGAGGAGAGGGGTACGAGGAGAAGGAGGAGGAGGAGGAGGGGGAGGAGGAGGGGGAGGAGGAGGGGGAAGAGGAAGAGGAGGAGGAGGAGGAGGAGGATAGTAAGGAGGACACAACAACTCGACGACAATGATAACAATCGTGCTCCACTGGAACTGGTATGGCGTGGCACTCCCTCCGCTGCAACTCACGCTTGGTGTGGCGAGGCGACTGCGGACGAAGAATAGAAGTAGGCAACACCAACGCCGAAGAGCACGGCGAGCACCACCACCACCACCACCACGGCAATGATGACGGTGGTGTAGGACGGCAATGATGACGGTGGTGTAGGACGGCAATGATGACGGTGGTGTAGGACGGCAATGATGACGGTGGTGTAGGACG